AACGGTAGGACGCGCGCAACCCAGCACCATGAATTTATAATTTGTTAATTTATATTATTTATCTATTTAAGTAATAATTTTACACGTTTGTGTCATAGTAAACAATTTATAATTATATTTGTGACTATTAAAGATTTATTTGACGACTCCGTGTCGCAGTGGCTCAGCAATGAGTTGCGGCGCCGAGGGCCACGGGTTCGAATCCCGCACGGTTAAAGAATTTGTATGGCCTACTTACGTGGTAGCTCAAGAACCAAGCGCTCGCCGTGAACGCAACACACCATGGCTGCGATCCAATAAACCAACACCATGATTTCGTTAATTTAATGTATTATATTTACATTATGAAACAGAATAAAAGTATATCTAAAGTTGATATCTCTCAAAATATATATTATATACATTCTAATAACACATATTTTGCAATTCGAACAGGTCAACTTGTTACCAACTTTGTTAAATTGACCTTGTGATATTCCTTAGTCTACTCAAAAGGATTAACAGGTAACGCGGGTTCAATTTTTAATAAAATAATGTCCATATATTAACTTACGAAGTCGGGACTTGAATCTTCTCCTAAACACCTTGTGTCACTTCTGTCACCCTTATTCTATAAAAAAACCTCATAAGCTCTCCGTGGAAATTATTTTATTCTTTTAATTCCAATAGTATCAAAATTATTCGTGCAGTTGCCTTGCGCTCACCCGGTCACGCAAACAAAAAGAACATTGTAATGTGCGTCAATATCACTGATTACTGTGTATAGTCATTAATAATACGCTGTTTTACAGCGATCACGTAGAATTTGACTTTTTTTGAATATACGCTCTTAAGTGTATGCCGTAGCCCATGGACATCTACATTTATCCTCGAATAAGAATCAAAATGCAGATGCGTTCTCACTAAAAGACTAAAATAGCATACCTCATTTTCAGTCAAATGGGTTTTCTACACTCACCACACGAAACAGCAGCATTAAGCTGTTATTTTACGCTGATATTCTGCAAGAGTGTGGTCCGTATCCAGTCGAGGCAATCCATTCGTGCTGCAACCACAAAATAAGTGCAGCACGGCTCTGCCACGTAAAACGACTTTTATAAAAATATTTTTCGGTTGTTTATCAATTTTAATGACAGTCTAAAGTGCAAGTCTTAGAGATATCATTATTATTATTTATCGCAACACTCAAATAAACAGGGCATTCAATAAGGGCTCTTATTTGTGGTGGTGATAAAAACTATTTGTTTGACCTAATAAAGATTTACTTCACCGCAATAAAAATATAGAGCTATCTCTTCACGATAAAGCACGAGCTCATAGTAAGATAATTTGAAATAAATGAAAGAATTATTTATCGCTTTAAAATCTGAAATTAAAACATATACATTTATTTATATGAAAAAAATTAAGTTAACAATAAGATATAATCAGAAACGAATTTATCTGCCCAGATTTTACTTCACCATAGTTATACTGTTTTCTCTACTTTGATACAGGATTTAAGTTTAAGCACAAAAAAAATTCCTGTCCTGTGGTAACAATGAAATTTTTAATTGCAATTTCAGGTAAAGGAAAACACAGTGAGGAAAACGCACTGGTGCAGAGCGGTGGATAAATTGCTTTATAAATATCCAAGCTACGAGAGTAGGCCTGCGCCTAGCGGTGGGAAGTGCTCATACCTACACGGGCTGAATTTTTATTTTAACTTTACTGCAGTTGCGGACTTTAAAGTAACTTCTTATCTATTGCATAAAACACCTCGTGCCTCAGACAGTAGCAAAACATCAATAATTTCTTTTTATGGTTGCCCATTTAATCACCATGTTCTCCTAGCTCATTTTATCACCAAATCCCAAAGTGATTCGTCTTCTTCTGTTATATATTAATAAATCATTACTCTCATCGCATCTGGTGATATCCATATCTTTGTCAACCATAATATATACACAAAGCAAATGAGCAAAATACTTTTTCATCCAAGAAAATGACTTATTTAAATACAAACTTTCGCATTACTGTATATTGAATTTTTTAGCAGTGTTTAGGCGTTTTGTTCCTAAAATAATAGCAGAATACCTCTGAAAGCGCATTTTGTTGCACGCAAGTACAAGCACTTGGTTAGATCACAGAAGTTTTTGGTTTTGACAACATAAGGTCTGTATGTATGTATGTTTATGTATGTACCTATCTCTATCAGAAATCAGAAATATTTATTGACCTTAATATAACAATCGTTACAGGCAAGTCATTGGTTACAAAAGTTTTAATAAATTTATAAGGTTAAATTATAATATTGTACTATTTCATTAATTTATATACATTAATGCTTTACGTCATAGAATTAGGTAATTTATTTTGTTTGCACGTTACACAAGAATGACGATTCCATGAGTTGCATTGACATGTATTCGCTTAATTTGTAAAATGGGTTGTTCTCAAAAAAATACTTAAGTGTCTGTTTCAATTTGCTATAATGTAGGCTGGTTAAACTTTTTGGTAATTTATTATACATCAGTATTTTTGAGTAACGCCCATGTTTTTTTACTTTTACTAATCTATTCATGGGTAGAACACGTTTTTCATTATTACGCAGATTGTGTTGATTTATGTCTCTCTTTTTCGGTATTTCTTTATCCTCATGTACCTCTAATAAACTATTATATATATAAAGCGAAACCATTGTCATTATTTTGTCGGTCTTAAAATGTTTTCTTGTCGGGCTACTTTTTTTCAGACCATTGATTATTCTTATAGACTGTTTTTGACATTTTAAAACTTTTATAATATCCGGAGCATTACCCCAAATAGTAATGGCATATCTTATTATAGAATGAATGTAGGCATAGTACACAGATATGAGTGTCTTTTTATCTAGTAATGGTTTTAGCTTGAATAATGCGTAATTACCGCTAGCTATTTTCTTACAAAATTTTTCAATGTGAGCTTTATGGTTTATTGTGCTATCTACTGTATATCCTAAAAATACATTTTCTTTTGCAGTCGAATTATCACGAATGCCTAGCCTTGTTTGATAATGCATTACAATGCTTTTATTGGAATTTAGAATAATACCATTTGCGCCAAACCATTCTTTTAGCAAGCTTATAACACTATTAATTTTATTGTCTAAATTTGATAAACTTTTGTCTCTTAAACCAATATGTGTATCATCTGCAAATAAAATTAAATGTGTATAATCTGGTATTGCATTACAAAGATCATTAATATAGATATGTATGAATGTAATGGAATATTTTAATTCAGTTTTCACCCACTTCCAGGCGTCTCAAAATTTTGTTATTTTGCAGTTGTATTAATGAATCAATTTTAAAAACTTATTCTTACCGGAATCATCCCAGCTCAAGTTTTTACACGCTATTATTGTTACATAGTAATACAAGTAAACACAAGGACGGATCTTTTTTTGAAGTGTAGAATTATAAAAAAATTCTTTGAGTCTTATTTTCAATTAATGACATAATAAAATGAATTTTTAATTTTATTATGCACAACAAATCATGCCTTTCACAGGGTATTACAGTGATTGGACGGCAATAATGCATGGTGCAATAAAATGCGAATTATATGCAGCTAAAAGTCTTGTTGATATAATACTTGAACTGAGTAGTTTCAGCGGCTCCAAAAAGAGATCTAATATGTGATAGAGCCATGTTGCAGTAATATTAGTAGGATAGTTGTAGCACGAATGGGTCGGCTCGACCGGGGAAGGACCACACTCTCAGATAATACCAGAGTAAAATTGTATCTTAAGGCTGCTGTTTCGTATAGTGAGTGTAAAGACCCTTTTACTGGAAATGAATGACACGCATCTGCATTTTGATTCGTAATCGAGGATAAATGTAGGTGTCTATGGGCCACAGCAACCACTTACCATCCGCTGGACTGTGTGCTCGTTTGTTACCCTATCCTTTAAAAAAAAGATCTAATAAATTATATTACAAATAGTCAAACAAAACACGTCAATGACACCATTTACAAAATAAGAGTAGGTGAAATAATAACATTAAGTTGCATTTAAATGAACACTAATAAGAATTACTTTTTATTATATTTAGCATTTTTGGGTAGTTTAGCTGCTTTGATACCATTGATGTTTTGTTTATTATTTATGGACAGTTATTTGACATTATATATGTTCCAATATATTTGAATAAGATTGGTTGGTCACAAGAATTTGCATACTTTTGATTGAAAATTAATGATCATTTTGGATGTTTCAAAACATCACCTCCCTGATCACCTTTGCTGCTACCTTCCTTTTGACGCTGACTGTACAAACTGTTAAAAAGTAGTTTTAACATATTTTGGGGCAGCTTGACTGGGGTAACACTCTCACAAAATACCAACATAAAATAGCATGTTCATGTTGTCGTTTTTTATATGGTTAGGAAGAGAATCAGAGAACCTTTTTAATGGAAACAATACATACCATCTTGTTACAACGCATCTGCATTTTGATTCTTTATCGAGAACATCTACATTAGATGTCTATAGGCTAAAGTTTCCATTTACCATCAAGTGGACTGTGTGCTCGTTTGTCACCCTTATACTATAAAAAATAAGTCTTGCTAAACCGAATTTAATTGAAATGAAGAAATAAAGGACATCATAAATACATAACCATAATATCATTTAACATTAGTAATGTATTTATTTTAAATTATCACCAAAATAAAATACATATATTTAAAGATCAATGTTAATATTTAAAGAGCAAAACTCTTTAAATATGTATTTAATTTTTTTATTATATGTCTTAAATTTATTGAGATATATTGAATTTCAAATTTCTTGGTTATATTATAATTTATAACCTACACCATATTAGCTAGCAATTTTTTCAATACTTGAAATAGAAAAGGACATATGAAAAAAAGCTTATTTGTGATCCTAAAACTTTAACAATTATCAACATGCAGCTACTACCAAATGACATTTTAAATTTCACATAAATTATTAAGTTGACAAAAGTTAAATACCTGGCTTAATTTTGCATGAAAGTTCATCCAATGATATAAATTTTCCAGATGTAATCTTGCGTAGATAGGAATGGAAGGACATATGTTTAATGTTGTGTTCCTTGAGGTAGCCCTCATCCCAGGGCTCCAAAGGTGAACAGTGTACACAACAGCCGTTGGAGTTGTGGCGACACCTGTCCGAAAAGAACAAATCTAGAAGACCACATCAAAGAAATTATAAACAAGTACATATTGGAAACAATATAATTTGTCACTTAGAAACCACGTGACGGACAAACAGCAAGAAGTCGATGGATGCAAGCGGCTCAGGCAAATCTTTGATGCAATCTATAAGGATCTGTACCCAGCAGTGGCCTTGAGTATTTAAAGAAAAACAATAAACTTGTAATACCACAATCTTCTTTTGTACTTACATGGACATTGTATCTGTGTTTGCTGATCTATTCTATTATTTACACTGACATTGGCGAATGCATCAAAATCGCCATAAATACGAAGAAGAAAAACTATGAGGCATTAGAATCGTATATAACATGTTATATTCTAATTATCTAGTAACTTTTCAAAAGGCAATTTGTGTGGCTGTGGTAGCTCAAATGGTTAGAGCTCACTGTACATGTCAGTACACAAGCAACCTGGGTTCGATCCCCGCCAGCACCAATGAAATTGTAAATTGCAATTTTAAGTGCTGATTTACCATGTGATTGGCGGTGAAGGAAAACATTGTGAAGTAACCTGCATGTCTGAAAAATAAGAAATTTTTTTTAAAGACATGTGAAGTTCGCCAACACGCATTGGGGCAGCGCGGACATTTTCTTGCCCTAAAACCCTCTCAATATTGAATTTTTGATTTTATGGAATGAAGACTGCTATATAACACTACTATTAAAAGTATTTTAATAGGTTCCCTGTCTGCAACGTAGACATGATAGTTAACTAATCAAAATGTGTATATATAACTTATACAGTACAGTGAAAGACTTAATGTTTATTACAATTACAGCCAGTTAAAATAATTTAAAGGAAAAAAATTTGAAGAATAAATGAATTACAATTTTTCATCTCGTTGCCGCTGGATAGTTCCTGGTAACTTGTAGAGTTCTAAGTCTACCTCATCTTCTTCAGGAACGCCAGGCTTTGGTGATGATAATGATGTTGTGGCTGCCGACACTGATGGGCCCGTTTCCATTTTTTCTCCAAATTGTTTAGTATTTGACTGAACAAATTAAAACAAACGTGTGTGAAGTTCACATGCGAAACCTTCAAATGAAATGAAATATGAAATAAAAATATTTCACAGCAAACAATTCATTTAATAAAATAATTTTCAACCACAAGTGTGGCATTAAATATAACATAAAGATTTCTTAAATTTACGCGAACACTACACATTGAATAAAACTATTATTTACAGATTTTATCGCGTTTAATTACTTTAATTTATTTTTATTATTATCCCGACGTTTCGGGTGCTTTACAGCGCCCATGGTCACGGGGGGGACTGAGATGTTTGACGTCCCAATGTCATAGTTAGTCCGGCTACCTTCAGTTTTTTTTTTTTTTTTTTTAAAAATTAAAAATTAAAGTAATTAAACGCGATAAAATCCATAAATAAGAGTTTTATTCAATATAACATAAAGTTTAATTTTACAGTAAATAAATGTCACAATCCTTATTTTTAGACTAAATTATAGTGTAATAAATCAAAAGATTATTTTCTTTCCAGTATAATTGCATTACAATAGCACCATCTACATAATACTACAGGTATCATTCATCATTTTATTGAACAAAAATTGATTGACTCTCAAGGCGGTACCTAAAATAAAAGCTAGATAGATAGCCTGAAGTAATGAATTGATTAGATATGATTTTTTTTTTCAATATAGTTCGTTAAATACTTATTTAATAAATAGCTGTTAATATTATAATGTTTCAATGGTTAATATTTATACCAACCATCTTTAAAGCACCGTACAAAGAGAAGACCGAGATAATAGGAAACATTATAATTTAAAAAAAATACTAGAAATTCTATTAACTTTACTAACATTTGTTTTTACCACTGACAAACTAAAAATCCTTATGTTAAGAGTGATTTGTGACAGTAATCAAGTGATGGATTTGAGCCCACAATCTTTTGAGTTTACAGTCCACACTCTACCATTAAGCTACTGTTGCTTATTACATTATATTCTATTATAGTGCTATGGAAGTACATTTTTTTTATGTTGCTTTTTCTTTCACTTCTTTTCACTTCAATAAATGTCATTAATACTATACTATTAAACGAGCATTTCTTGTGTATATGTGTATATATATATATATATATATATATATATATCGGGATCTCGGAAACGGTTCCAACGATTTTCATAAAATTTAGTGTCCAGGGAGTTTTGAGGATAAAAAATCGATCTAGCTAGGATTTATTTTTAGAAAATGTCTTTTTGTCCGTGTTTTTAGGCAATGAAAAACTGCTACAATATCGTTACAATAAGAAGGGAAATTTTGACAGATTGTAAAACCCCAGTTCAAGCCCAGACCGACCGACCAACTTTTATTTAATTTTTTTTCAAGTTCCTTTCTTTTTTGAGAAAATCTATTTTTTCGAGCCCTTTTTTTTTAGTATTTTTTAAAAACACGAAAATTTAAATTAAACTAATTGCACTCATGATAATTTATTCAAATAACCAGTTCAGTTTTTTCTATTATGTCGCTAAGATCAAAAAATATTATTCGTATTTCATCAGTATGTAATTTATATCTAAATATAATTTCCAAAACACACGAATTAAAAAAAATCGAGCGAAAAATACCGAGCAAAGCTCGGTCAACCGGGTACTTATAATTTTAACAGCACTATTTTTAAAATACACATAATAATATGCGAAGAGTACTGTTTTGAAGCTTTTGCTTTGGTAGTCAATTTAAATTTGAGTTTTTATTTATAAATTAGTTGTAATGAATTATCAAAGCTATGAAAGCTAAGTACCTCAGCACTGGTTGAAGGTTGATCATACAACACGGCACCATTAACTGGACTGAGATACAGCATATCACCATGCTGTAGGCCATATTCTCGAAGTTGTCGTGACTTGTTGGAAATTATTTCTTCTTTGCGCTGCCGGTCACGGTGCAAGGCAAATCCAAATGTATTGAGGTTTAGAGCTTCGTACACACGCTCATACAGCCGTGCCGTTACATCTGTGTCAAACACTTCTATGCGTGCAGTTCCTTCTGGTGACTGCACACGCAACGTCTGCAACGAAATTACTCTCTTACTATTCTTGAGAATTAAGATTGTTGTCATAATCATTTGTCAACAGATAATAAAATTGCTGAGTCATTATTTTGAAATAAAACCTCAAGGACCTAGTACATAGGGACAGAATTTCCATTCGCTTGGATCTAAATCAAAATAGTAAAATGTGCGAAATCTACTCGAGGTAAATTTGAAAATTCAAAATGTTGACTTGAAGAACCAAAGAAAAAAGTATCTGTAAGACAAATGGCACAAATAATAACATTATAAATAAACAGTCGTACGTAATAGTACTCATCCTATTAATATTTCGCATTGCAATATTTCTTAAAACAGTTATTTACCATCTTTTTTGATCCTGACATTGTGTTTTTATAGTAAAGTGACCTGGTACACCACAGCGCTAATCTGACATGAGAATGACATGACATAACATAGCATACGTTCCGAAACGGTATTTCAAATTGTAATATAAAATGTCTATGGTATTTTCATAAATATTATGTACATACATTTTACATTGCGAATCCAATCTGAAAAAATTGTAAAATTATTATATACGTAGACAGAGAAACCTATAGACTAATGATTAGCGTGGCCTCGAGTGAGAAAGGACGATAACGTAGTTTTAGGTTATACAATAATCTTTATGACTTTTAAACATATATAGACAAAATTTTTATAGTCCACCAAATCTAAGAAATGCCTTTTGACGTTTCACATTAATCATTCCGCAATAACTTTGCACCAGCGTACTGACAGAATTTAAAATAACCTTTTACGTAAATCCGAAGAATTATGAAGTTATCTATATTTGATTACAACGTGTATAGTTTTTTATCACTAATTTAAATTTGAATTTTTCCAACAAAGCAAAATATTAAAAAATAACCAGTATTAACTTTTTTTACTTGACGTCGTTTCAATGATATGTCGCTATGTATATTACAGTAGTGCTTGGATGATTAAAATTCGTTTATATTCGAGTGATCGGCAAAATATTCAAATAATCGGTAAAAATTTTCAATTAATCCAATCATTAATTTTTAATGTGTTATTTGTTTAATTTAATTTTTATTTTCAAAATTCCTCAAATTACATGAATCATGAATAAAAGAAGTTTATTTTTTTTACTTTGTCAAAGTAAATTTGTGTAGGCAAAAAAATCATATACAAGGCCGTGCTAAAATAACCACTACATAATTTCAATATCCCGCCATTTTGGTACCAGTTACTCGACTCCACAGTGTCAGTAATTCATTCTTGGGGCGATGTATACTCTTTTACAACAAAATACCAGAAAATATACAAAATTTGACGTAAGTACACATAGTTTAAAAACTTTATTAAACTAAGTTTCTATAAAAATTTATTTGTATTTTAATATTAAGGAATTTATGGATGATAATAACTCCTCAGAAGGGTGATCGCTACCAAGCTATTTCTAATTTAATGATTTCTTATATTTACGCGAACAATATACATTGATTAAAACTACTTTTACGGATTTTATCGCGTTTTATTTATATTAATTATAATATCCGACGTTTCGGGTGCTTTCCAGCACCCATGGTCACGGGGGACTGAGGTGACTGACGTCCCAACGTCAAAGTTAACCCGGAGTACCTTCAGCTTTTTAATTATTGTTTTTGGTCCGATCTACGCAGAATGAACTAACTGTATTTTGAAGTTTTGCAGTGGTATGCTTGGGTTTAGTTTTAATTTTATTAATTATAGGATCCCAAGCAGGTGGTAGTACCCAGCCTCCTTCTCTATTGAAATTAGGATGTTTTTTAATTTCAATAGCCTCACGTATCATCCTTGGTAGGAATCGATGTTCTTTCGCGAGGATTTGTGGTCTATCAAATCTGATGTAATGGTTGGGGCCATCTAGAATATGATCGCAAACTGCAGATTTCCCGGAACGTCGGATTACAATTTTAAAATACAACAACTTTTGTCGGATGAAAGTACATACCGTAAGGTCAAAACAGACCCTACAACTAATACGCTTAAAACAACTAGCGATCTAATTAAGAAATACTCCGAGAAATTGAATCTAGACGTCAATTCGATAATACCTTCGTATGCAAAACCTCCCAAGTTGTATGGGTTACCAAAAATACACAAACCTAACGCTCCATTACGTCCAATAGTGAGTCAAATCGATTCGCCAACGTACAGATTCGCTCAACACTTAGCCAAAATATTATCACCACTCAGAGGACACACAAGAGCACATACTAAGGATTCATACCATTTTGTCAGTGAGATAAAAGACCTACGTCTTGCTGACAATGAAACCATGGTCAGTTTTGATGTTCAGTCTCTATTTACATGCCTACCTGTTGAAGACTGCATCTCAATTATAACTAGGAAACTAGATGAAAATAACATGCCACCAGAATATGCAGTGCTACTAAGACATTGCCTTACATCTGGCTATCTATTGTGGAAGGAAGTGTTTTACAAGCAAGTAGATGGTGTTGCGATGGGCTCACCTATATCTCCCTTTGTCGCCGATATATTCATGGAAGACTTTGAGGAGAAAGCCCTCCTTACTGCACCTGTTACCCCAAGGTTCTACAAGCGGTACGTAGACGATACTTTCACAATTTTACTCGGTTTTTGGACTGTTTCTTCTATAATAACTTTTTGTACGTGGTAGAGCCACGCTACATCTATATTATAGTTGTAGCACGAATGGGTTGGCTCAACCGGGGAAGGACCACGCTCTCACAGAATACCAGCGTAAAGTAGCAACTTAATGCTGCTGTGTTTCGTTTCGTGAGTGTAGGAACCGGAGACCCTTTTTACTGGAAAAGAGGCATTCCATCTTAGTACTCAAGGCTGACAACGCATCTTCATTTTGATTCGCAAACGAGGGTAGATGTAGATGTCTATAGGCCACAGAAACCACTTACCATCAGGTGGACTGTGTGCTCGCTTGTCAATCTTTTCCTATTAAAAAAAAACAACGACACCTCTACTAGTTGTACCTACTGAAAGTGATTGAATAAATTTATTTTTAATCTAGTTTCAATCTTAATTTTTTATAACTGTGCCTCTAGAAATAAGCAGTAACAACAAATGCGAATGATAAATCTTGTGTTTTAAATTATCCGTTTTAAATTTATTATGGTATTATTTAAACCAAACTAAATGATTACCAACTTTAAATAATCGATATCGTTTTTTAAAGAATCTAATATTGTACGTTCCCATTTTTTGATTGGCATTCTTGGTGCAATAAATCTGACAGCTGTCAAAATGTATTTCTTAGATTTGGTTGACTATAATTGTTCTAAGAACTGAACTGACAAGATTCACTAATTTTAAGCTCAAAAACACTTCTTTCTCACTTAAACCAACTTGTAAACTCCTTAGATCGCTACGAACTGTCAAAGTTGTTAATCAACGTGTAGTTTGTTAAACAAAAAACCGGCACGGAGAAAGGGACAAACAATCACACCGCTCTGTCTCATTTCTATGCAAGACGTATGCATAAATCTATCTTTTTCGTGTGCGAATGCGAAAGAAGGTGTCAATTTGTCTATAGGTTTCTCTGTCTACTGTTATATAGTGCGCGCAAATTAACTCTGCACGCGACTGATGGCGTACTTGATGTTGCTGTCTTAAAAAATATTTTTTGCGACATTTAATCTTATTACTAGAATCATATATAATTATATCAAATTAGATATAAATTTAAACCATTCAACCCTAAGGACTAGTCTCGCAAGATTATTCCCCACTGCGCAAGTATTGGATTTAAAAATCTTGTTCGTTTATAAAAACTGTTTACGGAATGGATTTTGTCATTACAAGAATCGTTTCCATCGTTGTAGGTGCTCTTTGAAAAATGCCGATCTGTGCTGTTAACGTATGCAAAACTTTGAGTATTCGACGAACTGGGGAGGCCATGTGCGTTAATTCCTATACAAAAAGTCTGTCAATGTCAGGGGACGCAAGAAAAAAACACTACTGTATACTTCACTACAAATGCAAAATTGAATCGCGGCACTATACACGCACACTACAGCATTTGTGTTTGAGTTCATTGCATTTATGCATACCATCAAATTGTACACGTGTCGATACGGTAAGCAATAAAAAATAAAAAAAGGAAAGCAGTTATTTTTGGTGGGCGATCTTAACATTAACTGTCTGTTAAATGATGGTAGCACGACTACCCCACGCTGTCTCAGTGTGCTAACCGAATGTTTCAACCTTCACGAGGTTGTCAATAGGGCAACTCGAATGATACCAACTTCCAGCACATTAATTAATTAAATTTTCTCTAGAACTAATATAAAGCCATTGACGGTTAGGGTGATTCATAATGATGATCTAAGTGACCACGGTCTTGTCTCCACAAAGTTTCCCGTTATGTACAGTAGATCAAAGCGTCGAAAAATCACTTTCAGATCATTAGACGCATATGAAGACGCTATTAAATATGCTACACAGTTTACACCCTGGGACTGCGTCTTAACACATACTAATATTAAAGATGTGGTTGACATGTAAGCTCTTGTTGGACTTAGTTGATACATTTTTCCCTGTTCAAACTCGCATATTTAAGCGGTCCGCTACGCCTTGGGTGATCGACACACTCAAACAAATGAGAGCAGAAAGAGATAAAACATGTCAACGAAAAAAAAAGACTACAGCTGATTCTAGCCTAATCACCTGGCGGACCCTGATGCCTTAAACTCCTTTTTCTTAAATAGCATACCACAAACACGAAAGACTGAAACTCAGAAATGTGATTCACAGAGACGTAATGAGTCGGAATTCAGCTTCACGTTGGCAAATGACATGATGGTAAATAAAATTATTTCCGCAGCAGCTTCCTTTAACCCCAAAGGAAGTGACGGATTAACGATGCTTATATTGCGGTTAACCCTCCCACACCCTTTGCCTGCGATACTTGCTATAACAAATAAGTCACTAGCAAAGAAATACTTTCCAGATGCCTGGATGTGTGCCATTGTAACTCCGATACCAAAAATTTTAGCGTCTGATAGTTATTCAGATTTGAGACCAATATTCTTCCAGCATTGTCAAAGGTAGTTGAAAAATGTGTTAAAGTGCAATTAGTACCATTCATAGAGTGTATAATTTTTATGATATCGGGGAGTTACGAAAAGTGGTTTTGGATGTGAGGGGAGCACAGGCAGACGGACTCGGGAAAAAAATGACAATCTGCTAAGTAACAACGAGAAGTCGAATAGGTTATTAATGATTTTGTGTAGAAATACTATGTCAAACATTTTACGCCTATTGCAAAGAGTAAGTAAATTGTATTTTTTTAGTGAATCGGTGTATTAAATTGTGATTGATTGTGACTGATTTAAAATAT